CTCAAGCATCTTTATGACGTATTTGAAAAATGTATGTATTTGACTAATGAAGAGAGAAAAAGTGAAGTTGAAAAAGTGAAAAGATGGCACTGAGGGTACTCAAAATTCCTAGATTTGAGGTTGAAAAATTTAGTCGATTAAAAAATTCTCAAATATTTTTTAGATTATTTTGAGATTTCAAAATAACACAACAAAGCAATAATGAGATACAGTTATGCGAATATTACAAAAAAAAAAACAAAAAACAAAAAACAAAAAACAAAAAACAAAACAAGAAAATAAAATAAAATAAAAATAACCAACGGAAAAAATGGGACGTCAAATAGAGTCCCAAATACAGAAAATTTATCTATCGCTGTACGAGATCAAAAAAAACTGCTGCATACACATATATTTGACAGATTTGTTCCGTTACTTCGTTCACCATATCTTACATTTCTTTTCATGACTAATGGTGTATGGCTGTAGACTCATTAGGAAAAAATGGCCTTTACAATCGATGAAACAGAATTGTTGGAGAAGAATCGCGATTAAGATGACTACTTCTTCTTCATTTTTTTTCAACTGGAAACTAATGATTGTCCCGTGGCAGCCATTGGGACATTCATAATTACGAATTTTAATCGCGTAAATTCATTTATATAATACGTAATACCACTTTCGCTCAAATTCCTTATAAACTATAAATAATGCAGAATTATTTAATTATATCATAAACATGCGCAATTACAAATCTTACTGCAATTGGTGAATTTTTGCAAGAGAAAGTCCATTAATAACATATATTTGTACGTATTACATTGTATGTAACTACGTATTTGTTAAAATGATGAGCAACGGACAATGGAAAAGACTCTGTATAACGCATATTTTATCTTTTATATCGCGTGAAAAGTGCGCTTCATTGATTACATTATACCGATAGCTATTGTAGTGATGATTAGAGCAATAAATCAATTTAAATATTATTCTTCTCTTAAAGAATGCAAAGCCTATTATACCCATAAAGCAAAAAATTTTCAATACAAAATGTAAATGTGGAAATACAATAAACGCGAATCATACCATTAGACAAGAGTAAATAGAAAATGCTCCATTAACATAATTCCTTTTAAAAATTTTATTTTCAATAAATAAATCCAAGTTATACGTTGAAGTTTATTCGTTGTATTAAGACCATAAGAATTCTAGTTATTCTAGTCAATAAAAGTAGACAGTATTTTATACAGAATTTCATTACTTATAAAAATTGTTTAAGTTTTGAGGAATATTGAATGAGTTGTAATTTTTTAATCCCATTGATTTTTAATACAGTAAAATTCTTATACAATTACACTTTATTCGCTGTTCAATCTAGAAATTAAAACATTTCGTTAAATTTTGATAATTTATTTTAATTTAATAAATTAATACATTCAATCCATTGAAATTATTTTAATCAATACCTACAATATATAAGCGTGTGTAAAGAGTATTATACTTCAAAAAAGATTTGTTCAAAAGTATAATATCGACCTATTTATTCACTTGATAAGAATACTTGAATGGGCGCAGCATCTTATTATTAACCTTGAGAAATTATTTTGCTGGGACGTTTTAGACTGGGATAAATGTTATAGAAGAAGCAAAGATTGAGAAAAAAATAAAATTAACTATTATGTAACGATATATTCAAATTATTTAATTTTCAATGTCTATATTAGTTGTTTCGGTATCATGGCAAAGATGATAAACCTATTAAGGTTTTATACTTTCAAAGTTATTGAGAAAAGTGGTAGATTATAGCGAATAGTGAAAATATGATTAGTGTATTTATATAATACTCGTTGTCGCCCTCCCAACCCCACCCCCCACCCCAACCGCCCTCCGTCCCCACTACCCCCTCACCGCCTTTCCCCTTCCCCACCATTGTTAATAGTATTAATAATAATCTCCTATACAACACCGTATATTTAATTTTCTGTAAGTGATTTTACAATCAATGATAAATCTTAAACTTTTATTAATTAAAAAAAAAAATGTACCTACCATTATTTTTCTTATTTTATACTTTCATTAATCCTTCTGTCACGATAGTTATATTAGTAAATGAAACTTTTATTTAATACAATTTTAACAAGTATTTTAGAGAATAAATTCAATATTGAAAGAATAAAAAGGTTAAATTTTCTTGAGTTATTTAATTTAATGATAAAAGTTTAATTGTAATCTTAATATAAAACACTATTAAAGTCCATACTTAATTTGAAGTTTCTTGAAAATCTAATTGGATGTTAAAATTTATCTTCGATATACTTAATAAAATGGTAAATATTATAAGTTGTTTTCGTTTCTGTAAAAATTAAAAATTTATAATGTCAAGTTGCAAGATTTACACTATGTTTGCTTTGTAAGTGTTGTAATAATTGTAATGTCTTTGGTATATTAATGATAAAGTATACAATTTACTAGATATAGTATTATACGAAATGAATAAAATAGTTAATGCAAATATTTTATCAACCGAAGTAAGTAATTTTATACTAATATAAAAATTAAATATTATGAAATATCAAACAAAGCACAAGTATACTTAACTTTGGCTCCGTGAATTATTTAGAATAGTTAACAAGACAGTACGCTAATAGTTTTTTTTCTATTAATTAAAAAAAAAAACTACATATGCTCACATTACTAATAGCAAGACTGAGAAAGTCTAAGTTAGTATAGTCTTTTTTTAATAATTTTTATAGTATAACCTAATCTAGTATCTTATGAAATTTTAAAGTAAAAGATATTTGCTGAGAACTAATGCGCTTAAATTATTTTAAACCTTAACCTGCCAATATTAAAAATAAACAAATATTTATATTTTTTAGTTAATATTTAATACTTACGCATTGAATATTTAATATAATATTATGGAATTTAACATTGATTATTTGTAATTTGATTATAATTATTACTAGAAGGTTCATAAATTTTCTTGGCTTTTAGTTTTTAATAATGCTAAATGAACGTAATCTTATGATTTAGAACTGAAATTTGGTAGACAAAAAAAGAAAATCGATTATTAAAATTCGATGTAATTATTCTTTTAAATATGGAAAAACTTTACTACATTGAATAACATCCGATCGGTAAAATCAATAATATCTAGATTAAGATGTCTTTTTTTTTTTTTTTTTTTTTTTTTTTTTTTTTTTTTTGCTATTCATTAGACCACTACAAACTTATATGGAGTTATAAATTTTTTTTACAAACATATTTCGATTAATACGGAAAAGTATGACAATTGCAAAATGGAACTTGACAAACGGAGTATTGTTCAATTCAAATCATAGATGTTATTTTAAATATATATTTAATAGAATAAGATGTATCATACGTATACAATTTGACACGGATTCTTTTTTATATTTCACAAGTACGAGCAATAATTAAATATTCAAGAAGTTATAGTTTATGAAACAAGCTTTAAGTACATGTATCCCTACTACGTCTATGCACTATGAATTAATTACCATTAGTCATTTAATTTCTTTCTCACGTAAAATAAAAAGAATAATTATTAAATGGTATCTTGTAAGCTTCTTTTTTAAAAATGAAAAAATAATATAAGATTTTCTATATATGATCAAAACACGTCAGAAGTTGGGAAATCGGTGTAACTGGACGACAAGTGCCATTGACGAAGGAAGTCGGAATGTTTCTCCTACATATGGAAACTGGATTTTTCATACGCCCGTTTTGCATGTTATTTAATATAACGAATTATCAAATGATACGAAAGAAAATGATATACTCATTAATATTGTACTTATAGAATATTTTAGTAATATTAATAATGTCAGTACTGAAATGGATTTTATTGGAAAACTACGTAAAAAAAAAAAGTATTAGGGACAGTGTGCATGCTTGTATATATATGTATAATAAATTATATTTTTTTTTACTTTTTTTTTATAACAAGTAAATTTTTTTTATCAGTTCCTTAAAAGTTAGTTAATTATATAATTTTATGTATGAAATTATTAAGTGGATTATTACCATTTGCGTTTTGAATAATTTTCCAATTTATAAAAATTATAGTTGAAATCAGGGTAAAGCTTCGTTAAAAGTCACTATAAACAGCCATTTTCATCAATATTATATTTATCTACATAATTTTCTAGGAATTTTAGAGAATTCATTCGATTATATTCGCAGAATTTTATCTTTCTACAATTGCGTACAGTTGTCAAAATATAATAGAATCCAACGTGCTAGACATTCTTTTTTCAGTTTTAGCAATTTTTCAACAAACTAAATATTTGCATTTAATTATTTTAAATAATACTGATAAAATACAATATTTATATATTCTACAATAAAAATATTTTCTTTATGTATTTTATTG